TTCCTATAGGAGCTGGTGACAAGAGTCTGGAATTAAAGAGAAAAGAGTCACTGCCTCTGCATTTTGATGGTGGAGGTCCTTCCAGAAGGAGGACAGCACGGGAAGCAAAGAATTACAGCTGCTACAGCACATGGGCAGGAAGGAGGAACAGGTCTTCAAGGAAGCATGAAGAGAGCTAACTGCCAGGCAGGCAATTGTTAAACTCCGGCAGTTTAATAATTTGTCAAGAAAAGGTATCGGGTATTAAATAAGTTGAGACAGTTGTTGAGACTAAAGAGCTCCCAAAACGTTGTCAAGACCATAAGGTTTTGTCTCTGCCGCATCACAGGACAGCGGTGACTAATTCACTGTCCAAGCGACAAATTCCAGGGAGGGATGTTTTTCGAGGGACTCCTAGCAAAAGCCCCTGGGGAAAAAACCCCACATTCCTGGTGTGTCCTGGTGCTCAAGGGCAGGGCAGTTCCCTCAATCACCCTCCAGCAGCAGGGTGCTCAACTTTAAACAGGTTATTTTACAGTAACAGCTTCCTGTTCCCCAGCTAAGTACAGGCACCGCTGGAAGGAGCTGGCTCCAGGGACATTCTGCTCACGAGCCTGTGAGGCACAAGGAAAAGCCCTCCAGTAAAACCATCCCTCAGAGCCACCCTGGACAAACAACGTCTCCGACTTAATGCCAGCCCTGCCACCCAGATCACGCCTCTGCCTGAAGCAGACACGTCAGGGCCACATCAACCCCGATTTGAGGCAGGCACTGTCTCCCACAAAGGAAACTTTCATAACCAGTTTTTCCTGGGAAAAGCAGATGTCTCTCATTCAGCCAGCTTTCTGCGCCAGAGGGGCTGCCTCCCTCTTTGCCACAAGGCAGGCAGCTGGCCCGAAGCCTCGCACCAGGAAGGGACTGGCATCTGGGAGTTGGGCTGTCAGGCACAGGCTGTTCTCTCAAACGCTGCGGCCAGCGCGTTTCGGGGAGCGCTACTCTGGAGGGGCTGGGGAGGACTGGAGCGTTGGTACCCGCAGCGAAGCACAGGCTGTAGTGGAGCACTAACAGCTGCAATCACTGGACTTCCCCAAGGCAATGGATTTATAACAATGCTCTGCAACATCCACCAAACTGCTCTTAATATATATTTGCCAACAGTCTCTGAAAGACTGCAGCCGTACCACGGGGAAGCAGAGCGCTAACAGGAAGGCAAGCTCTGCTGAGGAGTGGTTGTTGCTCGAGTGATGTATCCAGCGCACACACGGTATCAAACCACCCTTACGTCAGCCAGGTCTTCCTCTAAGCGAGGTCCTGCTTTACGTTCCCCCCTCCGGAGCGGCTCTGGGGGAACGCCTCAGTTGTCTGAAATTTGGCGCCTCTTACCAGATGACTTAGACACACAACTTGAAAAGAGGAAGGTAACAGTTCCTCACGTACCATGGCTGGGATTTATATGTCAGGAGGAAAGCAGAAGGCAGTGGGACGTGAAGCAGCCATTAATCACGCTTCTGTGTCCCTTCTCCTGGTAACAGCATTGAGTACAGGCACTCTATTTAATTTTCCTGATACAGTGTTGAATGTAGGTGCTCTCCTGTTTATTTTTTTTAATTACAGAATAAAGGACAGAATCTGGCAGAGCATCAGCTTATCCCCACGCTGCCCTGAGCCCGTGAGCTGCAAGCTCAGCTGTGTAACTCTGGTGACAGCCACCCCTCTGGGCCTGTCCCCTGCCCAGCACACGTACCTCACCGCCCGTCCCGGCTCCTCTACGTGCCGCGTGGGGCTCCATGGGCTCCAGGCGCCCCGCACATCTTCGGGGAAACAAGACCCCGGTGGGAGAGGGGCTGCGGCCTTTCCAAATACCCGCTCCTCCCTCTGAAGGGAGCCTTCCCAATTACCTGCTTCTCCCGCTTCCGGGCTCTCCCGGCCCGTTTTGCTGGAGCCTCGACTGGCAGATTCGGGGCTGGTGGCTCCGACAAACAGTTTCCATTTCCCTCGCTTGGAGGCCAGCCTGCGGGTTGCATCCTGCGAGGCCGACTGACTCCCATCGGAGAGAGGGCTGGAGCCCGAAACGCTGCCATCGCCTTCCTCCAAGGCGCGCAGCTCCGCCTGCCAAGACATGACAGCAAACGGCATTTCAGGGACCTGACCTAACCTGAAGAGCAGCCGCAGTTACAAGTCACCCGTCAAAAAAGAGCAAACGGCTGCTCTCATCAGAGCGTTGTGTTAATGGCAGCGAAGATGGAGCAAGAGCTGGCCGACAGCTGCTGACTCGCCAGCAGAACGCCCACATGAAGCCACAGCTGATCCGTATCCAGATCATATGGAGCCCAAGCCCATACAGGAGCCGCATGGGAAACATGGGGTCAGTCTCCTGAAGGAGGCATGACAGAGACACAAATGTCTGCTGCTCCCAGTTTATTTCCAGCTATTCCTTGGCTGCACCCATGGCCTTGTTTAGGTGACAAAAATTTCTCCCTTACCTTCTTTCTCTCCAGCACCATCTCCAGCTCGAGGGTGTCTTGCTCCTCCTCTTCCTCAGCGCTCTCCCCCGACTGCACCACGCTGCACAGATCCTCCTGCAGCGTGTCTTCCAGGGGATCCCTGCCAGGCTCCAGCTCTTCAGGGGCAACCGCCGCTTCTTCCGCTTTCGTCTCCTCTTCCGGGAGCGGCTCAACCTCCTCTTTGCAGATCACTTTTCTCCTCCAGCGCTCCTCTTCCTCCTTCACCACGTCGGGCAAGAGTGGTGCCAGGAGGGCTGCAGCCACCCCCTTCTTCTCCTCCTCGCTGTTGGAGAGCGCCTGCACGCCTTCATTCACTTCCTGCAGGTCGAGCCCCATGTGAGCTTTCCAGCAGCAGCCGCCGCTCCCTGCCCCCTCACCCCAACTCTACACCTTCCCCAAGCAGTGGAGGAGACCGCAGCCCACAGAGGAAGGAGCCTGGGTCGCCCCATGCTCCTAGGGCCCCTCTTCGGGCTGTGAGCGCAGAAGAGCAACCCACCCACTGCCAAGAAAGCCCAAAGGGGCGCCTACAAGCCCTGTGGCAACCAGAACCCGGTGCTGGGCCCGTCTGACTGACCTTCTTTACTTCCCGCTTGGCGAGGCTGGCCCCACGGCTGATGCTGCCTGGGGCAGCCCCCTTCTCCTGGGGGTACAGCTCTGCAGCCGCTACGAAGCTGCCGTTGGCGCCTGTCACGGTGCTGCTAAGGAAGAGGGGAGAGAGTGAAGAGTGGGTTTGGGGACAACATCCTGGTGCCTCCCCTCACAGGGCTGGGGGTCTCTCCCACCTGTGCTGGTAGTGCTGCAGGCCCTGGACCTGCGTCGCCAGGTACTGCGGCAGCTCCCAGGTCACCTCGTTGCTCTGGGTGTTCCAGTAATAGTAGCAGCCCGTGTTCTCGTCCCACACCTCCTGCCAGTCGCCCATCTCCAGCTCCCCCACTGCCAGGGTGACAAGGACAGGCCATCACCCATGGGACACACAGAGCCGGACCAGTTCCCCAGGTGGTTGTCACCCCCTTTCCCTGGCTTGTCACTGCCCTTGGGGTCCCTTTAGTGAGCAAAGTGGGGGACAGCAGCCCCCTACCCAGGACAGGTGAGGCACTCACCTCCTGCCAGCGAGCACTGGGTGTCATACTGCCACTCCGGGGCTGGCGCAGAGCTCGCGCCGTTGGCAGTGCCCAAGGACTGGCCCGAGCCCGACTCCTTAGGCTCTGGGCGGGGAGGTGTCGGGGGTGGTGCGGAGGAGGCGGTGGAGGGCTCA